CGGTTGTTTATTTTATCCACAAAGACCAAAACACAAATAGAAAAATAGAATGATATTATGATAAGGAACTAGGGATATTTTTGTAATTTTCTTCTTTTTGGTTAATTACACATTCAACCCCAAAGATATACAATTAGTTCGATATAACCTAATGTAATCTTAAATCTGAACCAGAACCAGACATGCAAGTATAGAAATGGGCAACTTCATTCAGTGAGAAATAAACGGCTGAGATGATTCATCCTCAAAAATAACAAACCGTATTGAAAATTATTGTATAAACAAAATTAAAAGCATTTGAATTGTATCTGCAGGCTCCAGGCAATGTGAATGACTGAATGATAATCACCCCTAATGATCGGTGATCGCCTTTTGCGCTTTGGCTACACACCTTCTTGCCATTAAAATTAATCAACAGTTGAACACCAAAGTAATCGTCTTTCGCCCTTCTGCATCTATTGTTTTCCTGGCATGATAAAAAAACTATAATTCAAAATTGAAATTGAGAAATATCATGCATGTCATACAAGAAAATATCACACGGCGAAATCATTTTTAATGATTGATTATAAAGCACATTAGTTGCCAGAAACTAACATTCAAAAAATGGAATAAGATCTAAAAATGACAGTGGTATCCTCTCTCTGGTTCTAACTTTCAAAATACAGTGCAATAAGGACGCCGTTTTCAGGTTTAAAATTGCTTTGAAGTGCATGTTTGCTTAAATCCTGATTCCTGCATGCCAATAAAAGAGAAAATGAATTTTATGTCTTGATCATTTATTCAGGCAAATTAAAATAAATAAGCAATAGGTTATTTATTGGGTTAGTTCATGTAATACAAATGTTACTTACATAGTTACATAGATTTTCTCATTTAAAAGACAATTAATCAATGCTACTTATCTTTAATCCAGCAAATTTAATTTATCTACAGAGAATTGAAGTGCTGTCAATAGTAACTATAGCTGTATTGATCTATTGGATATTGGAAACTGTGATCTGAGCTCATAGAGGTGTACATAATACAACTGAATGGGTATGCAGACAGCAGACCTCTTTGGAACCAAGTGTTCTCAAGAATCAAGATAGGTATAAATTATTTGTTATTTATTTTCCAACTTCCAAGAGCCCATTTAATTAATTTTCTATTCAAGAATCGAGATTCAAGATAGATGATCTCCATTTAATTATAAAAAAAAAAATACCAGTTCCAAAAAAAAATGACTTTTGGTATGTGTGTTTTATTGTCTTAATTTTCAATGTTTGCCAAGTCAAATAACACTTGCCTGTACGGCTGTATATAAGTCATAATTAAACTCATAATCATCGTGAACATATCAGCATAATGACATTATGGCATGTTACAATAGCTGCAGATTATTTTCAAAATATATTATAGAATCAAACGAAGAAAATCAATCACTTGAGATTATTATATGAACAAATTAAAAGAAAATCTCAAAAACATAAATGAACACCAATGCTCACACACCCGATAGATGATGCTTTCCATCTACATATTTCGTTGCAGCTCTTGAAAGCCTGTATCGTATGTACCCCTTTTGATTCAACCCTTCAATAACAGGATCAACATGCTAACAAGATAAAATGATAAATGAATTAGCTTGCTAAAATCAAAACAGAGAGCATGATTTACGAAGAAATCAAATAATCCTTAGTCCTTAGCATGCTAAGCTGATCAGAATATACAACAATTTCATAAAACTAAGCAAGATTTTCAAGGAAAGCCTCATCATCTGGCCTCTTAAATGTTTCTACGGCCAATTAAAATGTTACAAATAAAATTATAAGTTTGAAAGAATATATGAAAAATAAAGTAAAACTTAATATGTTACTCAATTGCCATATGTCATGTAAATTTCAATAGCTTTAACAGGCACTGCAATTTCCAAAGCTACAGAAATTATAAAAGAGAATAAAATGTATATATGAAGTGATGAAAGTAAAAGAATTATCTCTTACAAAATAATGAAATGCAAAATCGACTTATTTAGACAATGAAATGCAAAATAATGAATAATGCTTGATTGCTTATGCTGCAACACTCAAGTTTTTCCACTATCAGTGGTTTAGTACTGCAAGTAATGGGAAATAACATAACTAAATAAACTTGTTCTGTGAAGAACATAAAGTGTGATTCTGGATTACTGATTCACTGATGAGTACTTTTTTTTAAGATTCATATACCAATAATTATATCACAAAAAACATACCATGGAATGAAATATTATCTAAAATCTAATACTAGAAGAATAGGAAACTTCATAAAACAAAAACTTTATGGCTGTTGAGTGAGCCAGAGAATGAAATTTCTGCATAGAAGGAAGAACTGGTTACAAATTGAACTAACTTAGAATCTTTTATGGATAAAGAGAACATGCTATTGAAATTAATAAATTCAATTGAAAGTTTGAAACAATGATTTAGAAGAAAATCAATGCTCTACCAACAACATTAAATAGCCGAAGATTACAAGAAATCACACCATCGGATGGATGGATGGATGAATCCTTCGATCGCAAGAAACTTAATCGGAAGCCGAAGACGCGGAGGGTCTAGGGTTTTGACAAGATTTATCTCCCCGTCAGTCGGAATCGTCTTCTTATCGGAGAAGAAAGTCAAAGAGGTATGTTTGTAATTTGCAAGAATTCTATCGAACTATTTTAATATTAAGAAAAAAAACGTTCGAATATTTTCCGAAAGGTACACGAGTTATTATATAATTACATAAAAATACACTCAAGCTTCCATCCTCCATTAATGGAGATCTGTAGCAGCATAGAAAACGAATTCACTCATCTGATAATCGCCCCCTTGATCCAACCATTAGCGAACGCAATCCCTAATATGATAAAGGGAGTAAGCAAACCCAAAATTGCGATGTATGGCAGTGGCGTCTTCATAGGGTTTTCTCCTTCCCTTTCTCCCGCAGTCGTCCAGTACCTGTAAATCCAGCAGCAGCAGCAGCAGCACAAGAAGAAGAACTCAAAATTCAAACGATCGTACATGCATACAGTAATAAAGATGGAGAAAGTTTAATATCACATCACTTACTGCTCGGGCTCCTCTTCCTTGGTTATGAACTTCTTCTCGGGATCCTTTGTCTCTGCATCTCCTCCGCCTGGAAGAACACACCTTTAAGAAGAAAAAGAAACAGAGTAGGAACAAGAAGAAGATAGAGAGAGGGAGGCCGGAGAACCTAGCTTAGCGCGTATTTGGGTGGGTTTTCTGCTTCTAACCGGTAGGATTACGACGGCGGGAGACGAAAATAGAACTGGATGGAAGAGACACCGGAGGTTGGTATGGTAAGTGACAGAAACAGAGGAGATAGTGAGAGCCATTGTTATCATTTGCAGAACTCTGTTCTGTGTTTTTTTTTAAAGATGTTAAAGATAAGATTTTTATATTTTCATTGGACGTCCTTCGACACTTACTGCTAATAAAAAAGAGAAATAACTTTTAATACAAGGACATTGACGTCAGAAAAATATATAAACGGTTTAAACAAATTAGGGGAGGGGAAGGATCCGAAAACCCGACCGGCAAGAATTCTACAAAAGATCCATGCTTATCGGAAACAAACAGTAGTGAAGCTGCCACGTGTTGTCGTGGTGGAGCTGCAATGGCGGATTCCGACAATGAATCGGGAGGGCAGAACAACAGTAATGTGATGGGGAGCAGCGAGTATCTATCACAGAGAGAGCAAGACAGGTTCCTTCCGATTGCCAACGTGAGTAGGATAATGAAGAAATCACTTCCGGCGAACGCGAAGATCTCCAAGGACGCCAAGGAGACTGTTCAGGAGTGTGTGTCGGAGTTTATCAGTTTTATCACAGGCGAAGCCTCAGACAAGTGTCAACGGGAGAAACGAAAGACTATCAACGGAGATGATCTTCTATGGGCCATGACTACTCTCGGATTCGAGGAGTATGTCGATCCTCTCAAGGTATGTTACTCGCTACTCTCGTCGTCGTCACCTCCGATGAGATTTCGTAATTTTAGGTATTGTTTTTCAAAAGGTTTACCTTCAGAAGTTCCGGGAGATGGAGGGGGAGAAAGGGGGATCCTCTTCCACTCCGTCGTCTCAACAGAAAGACGGGACCGGCGGAAGTGGATATGGCGGTGGTGGGAGCCCGGCGACCGGGATTTATGGAGGTGGTGGTGGTATGATGATCGGTCAACAGATTTATGGATCGTCGACAAACGCACCGTATCATCACCAGATCGGTATGAGCAGTGGCGATCGTGGAGTGAAGGGTGGTGGTGGTAGTGGCGGTGGTGGTGGGATGGTCACCGGTAATCTCGTTGGGAATTCATCTCCGACCGGAATTGGTAGGCAAGGTCGAATATAATTAATTCCATTTTAATTATTGTTGTAACTTTAAATTAAAATGATGTTAATTTTTAAAATCAACGATTAATGAAATTTCATTTTTAATCCAAATTTTAAATTTGGTTATTTTACTTTTTGTCTCCAAAAAAATTAAAAATATTACTAACACATCCCTAAATGGAAGACAGGAAAAGATTCAGGTTGCTCGATACGGTTTTAATCGGGTAAAACTTCGGGTTGAATTTTTTTTAATCCTACTTAATTTAACCGATGTAATTCGTTTATGGGATTATAATTTTTCTTGAATTGATATTAGTATATTACCAATTTACCATCAACAATATTTGCCACGTGTCACTTCTTCTCCGGCTCTGCATCTCCTCCGCCAGGAAGAACACACCTTCAGTCCTTTAGGAAGAAGAAGAAGAGAGAGAGAAGTACGTCGGAGGAGGACGAATACGGAATCGGACGGAAAAGACATCGGAGGTTGGTATGGTAGGTGACAGAAAAAGAGGAGATGGTGAAAGCCATTTTTGCCATTCCCAGAAGTTTCTTAAAGATAAGATTTTTATTTATTTTTCATTGGACCTCCTTCGTCCACTTACATCTTACCACATCCAAACTAGAAAGTCCACTCTTTTTCAGTCTCCCCAAAAACGATGTTACTTTGTTTCCGCACTCCAGCAACATTCTCCTTCCGCTGCCGCCCCATTCTTCTCCCTCCGGCATTCTCTCCGGCGCTGGTGCAGACAGGAAGACGGTACCGGATTCACCTCAATTGTGCAGATTCTTCAAATGGGCATCCGTTGAATGCTGTTTCCAAACTAGATGGTATGTTCTTTAGCTGTTTTTTTCGACATTTCGAGACAGGAAAAGATTGAATGATTGATTCAAACAGGAAAAGAAGACAAGAGTGATGGAGATACAACTGGTGGAACCACACTTAGCATTATCGTGATTGGAGCTTCTGGAGATCTTGCTAAGAAGAAGATATTCCCTGCACTTTTCGCACTCTATTATGATAATTGTCTTCCAGAGGTAACAAATCTGGATCACCCCCAATTCCAAATTCCCAATGTTTGTTCATTGCAGTAGCTTAGACATCAAAATTCCCAATGGTTTTCAGTATTTCACAGTATTTGGTTATTCCCGGAGTAAGATGAGCGACAAGGAACTGAGAACTGCAATTAGCCAGACCTTAACCTGTCGGATCGACCAGAGGTGAGGTCGATCGAGCTTGGTTGATGATCACATCGGTTTCGCTCCGGTCATTCTTCATTGTTTGATTGTTTTACAGGGAAAATTGTAGTGGTAAGATGGACAAGTTTCTGCAGAGGTGTTTCTACCATCCAGGGCAGTATGGATCGAATCAAGATTTCGCAGAGCTTCATAATAAGCTTCAAAAGAAAGAGGGTGGGAAGTTGTCCAATAGGTTGTTTTACCTCTCAATTCCTCCAAATGTGTTTGTTGAAGTGGTTTCCAGTGCTTCTACTTCTGCTTCCTCTCCCAATGGTTGGACGCGAGTTATCGTCGAAAAGCCATTCGGTCGGGACTCCGAATCATCTGCGCAGCTCACCACTAGTCTGAAGAAGTACTTACAAGAAGAACAGATCTTCAGGTATATTTAATTCTAACATGGTATCAGAGTTGTTTATTGATGGCTAGAAAAACAGATATTCGTGTGTGTTTAATTCTAACATGGTATCAAAGCTGTTTACCGATCGCCACTTGATTGCAATTGCAGGATCGATCACTACTTGGGTAAGGAGCTAGTTGAGAATCTATCTGTTCTTCGGTTCTCGAATCTTATCTTCGAACCACTGTGGTCTCGGAAGTACATCAGAAGTGTTCAGTTCGTGTTCTCCGAGGATTTTGGAACGGAGGGTCGTGGGTCTGAATTAGCTTTCCATCAATGCTAGTTGATTCCATTCTCTCTCTTTTTGTTAACTTACTCCTTTACTTCATTGGCTGCAGATATTTCGATAGCTATGGTATCATCAGGGATATAATGCAGAATCATCTCCTTCAGATACTGGCCTTATTCGCCATGGAAGCCCCTGTTAGCTTGGACGCCGAAGACATTCGTAACGAAAAGGTTTCATCATGCTTCATCTCCAAACAATATCATGACATAATGTTTTTGTTTCATGGTATCAGGTTAAGGTTTTAAGGTCAATGAGGAAACTGAAATTGGAAGATGTGGTAATTGGACAGTACAAGGGTCATCAAATTGATGGAAAAACAAAACCCTCCTACACAGATGATCCATTGGTCTCCAAAACAGCTTGACACCAACCTTTGCAGCCGCCTGTCTGTTCATCGACAATCCAAGGTGGGACGGCGTGCCGTTTTTGATGAAAGCCGGGAAAGCTCTCCACGCTAAACATGCGGAGATCAGAGTACAATTCAGACATGTTCCAGGCAACTTATACAAAAGAAACCACGGAAGAGATCTCGACAGAACAACCAATGAGCTTGTCATCAGAGTACAACCTGACGAAGCTATATATCTAAAGATCAACAACAAAATCCCCGGACTTGGCCTCCATCTCGACAGTAGCAATCTGAACCTTCTTTATTCCGCCAAGTATACCAAAGAAATCCCAGACGCATATGAGAGACTCATACTGGATGCTATTGATGGTGAACGAAGATTGTTCATCAGAAGCGACGAATTAGAAGCAGCTTGGGCAATCTTCACACCTCTGCTCAAAGAGTTAGAACAGAAGAAAATTGCACCAGAACTCTACCCTTATGGTAGTCGAGGACCAGTCGGCGCCCACTACCTTGCCGCCAAACATAACGTCCGATGGGGCGATTTAAATTAATAACTAACAACTATCTTTTAAATAAATTTAAAAACAAACAAACAAATTTACTCGATTCTTAATAAATAATTAAATACCATTGATAAGTCATGACAAAAACAGAGCAATACAGTAGTAAACTAGAAGCATTCATCATTCAGGAAAATTAAAAACAAAAATATATCCGACTGACAATAATGTTTAATTCAACTCAATAGCAAACTACGATTTGCATCCCACTGACAAAATTTGAAGTCTAAAGCTACGATCAGGCTCAAGCATGCTTTGCCTTTGAATGAGCTTGCATTGAAGCTTCAGACTTGAAGGTTCTGAAAAAAAATGATTGTTTTTAACACATTTAACATAAAATAAGGAATGGAAAGATGGAAGAATGTTAACAATCACTCACTTGCTGCAAGATTTGCAGTTAACACTTCCAGCTGACTTAGGTGTTTGCTGCTGCTGCTTTGTGGGTGTAGTTTTTTTATCTCCTCCCTTTTGAACATCTTTGAAAATTGAAAATTAATTTTATTACTTTCAGTTTACAAATTACATATTTGAATAATAAAAATGATCAAAAATAAGTTAATAACTACCTGATTTAGCAGCTGGAATAACAGTCTTAGCCTTCTTCCCTGGAAGAGAAGCCTTAGCATCTGAACTTGCGGGTCGCTTTTTCCCAGCTTCAGCCTGATAGACAAGAAAACAAACAAAACGTAAGTAAAAAAAAAGTAGGTTTTTTTACCCTTGATAAATGGAGATTTGAATTGCAAACAGACCTTAGGAGGAGGAGCAACCTTGACCTCTTCTTCATCAGAGCTACTATCATCATCATCTTCATCATCGTTGTCATCCTCATCACTGTCATCAGAACTATCATCACCTCGCTCAATCATTTCCTTAAAGCAAAGAATCAAAATAAAATCATTGGACAGAAGAGTAAAAAGCAAACAATGGGTATTGGAATTTTATAGCTTATATGATCACTATGCTAATTCATACCGAATCAGAATCATCGTCTTCACCAAAATCTTCATCGGATTCATCAGAATCATCCTCATCTTTCTCATCCTTTTTGGACACAACAGGTAGTTTGCCTTTTGCCTTTGTCTTTGAATCCTCTCCATTTGCTTTTACCTTGGGCTTGGAAGGATCAGTCAATGGCTTTGGAGTAGGCCTTGATTGTTCATCCTTATCAACTTTCCCATTAGCAGATTTATTCTCAAGTGGCACAGCAACAACGTCCTCCTCATCTTCAGAATCAGAAGAACAAAAATCATCCATATCATCATCAACGGCATTGATAGTTTTGTAACCAGTAAGAAAGACGCTGCCATCCTTCCAACCATGAGAAAACTGAACTTCTTTCTCGAAAACCAAATCCAATGAAATCTGATTACAAGATCCAGGAATAAGAGTACCGATGACAAATTTATTGTCATCAACGGTGACAGTAACCGGAACCGTTCCAGATGAGCCTTTCTTAAATTCTCCAAGACAAACCTACACATACATAAAAAAAATAAAAAAAACCATCTAAAATCGCCCAAACAGAAGGGAAAATGAGTTAACACAAACTACCAACCTGAGAAAGGTGAATATATTTATCATCACCAGGGATACATTTCAAAGGAGTATTTACTGGAACCTCAACTCCTGCTCAAAAAAAAAACATAACAAATGAAATAACAATGAGACATAATCCCTATAAAAACAAAAACTTTTGTGGAATCTAACAATATCGATTGAAAAAACGACAAATAAACAAGCTATGAAACGATTCGTATTCATATACACCGATCGAAGAGAGAAAAAATAAATAGATCGGATGATGGATGGGAAGAAGATTCGTGCATAAAACAAAAAGGGAGAAACAAAAATGTAAAGAACAATACCCCAGAATTCCATTGTACGTAGTTCAAAAAGATGGCGAGGAAAAAAAAACTAGGGTTCTTGGGAAAAAGACGAATGCGCTTGAAAAAATGGTGATCGCTTAGGGTTTTAGAAATTCTGATCTCCTATGTCGTTTATTTATAGAAGAAGAAAGATGCTAAAAAAACCATCGTAGCCGTTTGGAATTAAATGGACAGTCGGGATTTGTTTATATCGAAAACTTTCTCTTTTTTCCCCATAAATGGACCCCACACAAATGGGCGGTTCTTGTCGGGCCTAGGCCTTCTATAAAAAATGGACCAAGACGCTAAGAAGTAAGAAGAAGAATTAAATTTAACTCTTTGGTGTCAAAATACCCTTAAAAAAAAAATTAAATTTCATTGATGGAAAATTACATTACATTTTTTTTATTATAATAATTTTTTTTATTATAATAATTTTTTTTATAAAGTACATGATACATAAGCAAATAAAAATTAAAATGCATACACTGAAATTCGAACGGTAAACCTTTAGCCATCTTAGTTCTGTGACCAATATGGCTAATCGTGTTTAGGACCCATAGAAGATTCTTTTCTTTTTTAAAACAAGCAATTTAATTGTTCACACTGACGGTTTAGCAACGATCAAAATCCAGAAATCATAAAGTGTGCCTGACTTTTTTCGGATAAGTTTCTGTGTTGTCGCTTTTTGAAAGTTGTGCTAGAATATAATTATAACTAGATTTCTTATGAATTTCTTAAAGGTTATCGACTTACTAGTGTTGCTTCACCCTTTGTATGTCTTTTGTTCCTATGTATCCGTGAGCGTTGACCAGTGCAAGCCTCAATCAATTTGGTAGGTCTTTAGCTAAGCAAAGCATTGGATTTCGTCTATGATCTCGTCAATAAAACGATCGCCGCTGAGAATGACATGAAATTTTGCCAGATTGCCTTGTCATATATATGATCAAGAAAATATGACATGTTGTTTTCTGGTTCAGCCAAACAAAGGACGCATACAGTTGATCGGGCATAGCGATTGATCCTCGATTTTTTTTAAGGTAAATAAATTGGATATTTAAAAGTTTACATAGAAAATGGATATTTAGAAATAATGAAAGAATAAAATTAGCTTATTTGAAGTGATAAGCATTTCATATGTCAATGATGTCGGCGGCGCACGCCTACCAAACAGTCTGTGTTACATATATAGAGTCCTCCAAATTGCCATAGTGATTGCTTCAGATTGCTTTCGATGGGTACTGATCGAGTAAATCTAGCTAGCGTTTGTACTCGATCCCCAGGCCAACTTCTAAATAATCTTTCGAAAATATGTAATTTATCGTGTCTTAAGCTAGCTAGCACCACAGTGCCATAGCCATTTTCGACGTGTTGTTGGCCCAAATATTATCTCTGGCACATATATATTTGTTCCTTTTCTCGTCGCTTTTCAGATGGTATTGTAGATGTTCTGATTTGTTGTATGTGTTATTGCCCTCCGGCCTCCTTCTTCCATTGATCGAACGTCCTTGTTGTGACCTAGCTAGCTAGTTAGATATAGGCGCACGCACTTCTCCATCTTCGCTCTATTCCTCAGGATTATGGTTATCCAATTAAGTTCTTGAGTGCGCGCATTTAGCTTTGTTGACCACTTAACTGTATGCCATAATATATGCAACCAATACATTTTCGAATATTTTGAGCTTCAGATTCCTTTCGCATATGGGTCGATTAATTGTCTATTTTTCCCTAATTTCTTCGTGTATATATATATGATCCCAATTTTAGGCGTGTCGACAACACCGGCTTAGCCTTGATGTGATCGACTAACTTTTTTTTGTAGTGAATAATTGAATATAGCGTGTTTCCATGAGCCTCGATCTACAAATGATTTCGACCTTCCAAGCATCTCTTCAACTAAAACAGATCCATGGCTTTGGATTACTTGATGTGTTCTTACTAATGAATCTAAAGAACACCAATTAATTCTCAAAGGAATTAATTTATATCTCTCTATATAGGATTTAATTTAATCCTACAATGGTATATATTCACATTCAATTCATCAATCTATCATTTATTTAAATAAATTAAATCCAGTGATTTATTTATTTAAAATATCGACTTCCATTAATCCATATAATTAGCTAGCTAGGGTTTAAGTATTGATTGAAGTTATATATTGTTCACTTTTCAGGGTTTTTTTTGATAAAACCTAACTTACTCGACCTAATTAACATCATCCATCTATGCAATTTGGGGGTTTCAATTATAAAGTTCGAGTCGCGACGTACGGATGGTTGCTAGCTAGAATCACAATGTTCACCGGAGATTGTTCCGGTGAGAAATTAAATTGATTTTATTCATGATAATGATATTAATGTATTTATAGGCAAAACAAACATGGCCCGGCAAACTTAAAACAGATATTCTAAAATCAATTAATAATCCAAAATGATGTAGTAAAGAATCCAAATCCAGAACCTCCAATATGTTCTCCATTTCTCATGATTCCAATTTCCAACCATATTAATTAAAACCCTAATAAATGAGTAGATGATTTGTTTTTATTGTATTTTTGCAGACAATATATTAATGATCTGATGTAACTATGTAAGTCAGATATATGAAGAAGAAGAAGAAGATCGATCACAGCTGGATTCTGATTGATTGATTGATTCTAATCATGTAGTTGTGATTTGTGAAGAAGGATGATTAAAAACATGAAATTACTGCGGGATAAAATATGAAATTCAGGAAGAACAACACACACACTGCAAACACTGCGAAATAAAAAAAGAAATAGCTAAAAATCAAAGCTTGCTTGCTTGGTTGCTTGCTAGATAGATCATGGATAGATAGATAGTTAATTCCGATCTCCACCGCACTTAACAGCATCGGATTTTTTTACTCTTTTCCTGGTATCATATATATGCACAGCAAGCTAGATCAGAAACCATCAATCAAGTAGCTAAGATTTGAAACTTACATACATGGAGACTAATGGCTGCCGCGGCCTTTGGTGACTTCTGAGAACCATTGGGTGCGTTGGTATCGGATTTCGCCCACTGTATGTATGTGTATGCATGAGTATATATGTTTCTCTCTAGTTATATATAAAATACCTAATTATATATCATACGTTTT